CGGCCCTAACACCGACCCTTGAGGCACCCCGGCTCGAACGGGGTGCGATTGAGAACATATTCCCTCGACGCGGTAGCGGAACGTGCGATCACTTAGGAAATCTCGTATTATGCATACGAGACGGTCGGTTACTCCGTACTCATATAGCTTGTATATGAGACCGTTGTGCCATACTTTATCGAACGCTTTTGCTACGTCGAGAAAGAGAGCTCCGGTGTTAAGGCCGCTTTGGCGTTTGGAAAGAATGTACTCCGTGATGCGGTGCACTTGATGAGTGCATGAATGTTTGGCGCGAAATCCAAACTGTTCGGCAATGGGCATGGCTTTCGTTTCCATAAAAGAGCGAAGGCGGGCTAAAACCAGGCGTTCATAAATCTTCCCAAACGTTTTGAGTAGGCTGATGGGGCGATACGAGGTGGGATTTGTAGGTGGCTTAGAGGGTTTGAGGAACCCTATGACTTCGGCGTCTTTCCACTCGGTGGGAAAAACTCCTTTGGTCATTGCCACGTTATATATAGCAACAAGAAGTTGTAGTATAGTAGCTGGAAATAGTTTGGTCACCCTATTGGTGATACCATCGGAGCCGGGTGCTTTCCGGGGGCGTAAGTTTTTAATTAATTCCTCAACTTCATCTCTAGTAACTGGTGGAACGACATCTAGAAGGGGTATTTTATTCCTTCGTTCGACCTCACTGTTCACCTTTCGGAGGTGATCAGGATCGATCGATCCTGGTGGTACATGGTGCACACATTAAGGTGTACTCATACTAACATTATAAACGCGAGTTCTTTGGATGGATGGATGTTTGTTAGAAGGTATATCCAGAACAGCTGAATGGATCTTGATAATAGTTGGCGTACATATAGAACACAGTCTGGGAGAACACATAGGCTACTAATTATGTTATGAAGAGTCTTTTTATATAACGATTTTTAATACTTGGTTAGTAAATAGTTTTACTAACTAAATACGCTAACAAACATGTTTTAATATAGTAACAATAGAAAGCATCTCTGTCGAAAAATTTAATGAATAAAAGCCGTTTTCATTGAGTCACGAATAAAAACATATACACAAAATTTCGTAAAAAGTATTGACTAAGCCTCACGTTGGAAGTTGATAAAATATTTTATAAATTTTTATATGCGTCGGGCGTCAGCTAGATTGTTCAAATGTTTAAAGCTCTTTGAAAATATTTACTACCTGTATATGATATAAATATGGATACAGGATTTGAGTTACGTTGCGAGGTGTTGCTATAAAAACTCGCACGCTTACTTAATACTTATATAATATATAATGTTATATAATCCTCTATCTAGTAATTCATTTGTTGTAATATATAATGGCCGCACTATCTGTAGTGGTAAGGGTCTGCCCTTTGTTTGCCTACCATTTCATTGCCTATCATTTTTATTTTGGCTTAATACTTCAGTGTTCCATAAGTTGATACTGTTGTTGTTTATTGATCTTATATAGAATATATATTTTGTATATAAACAAATCTAATTTAATACACTTACTAGATTATCAATGTAGGTCTATTTAAGATTAAAAAGTGAAAATATAATACAAGCGATAATAGGAAAACCAAAGTATTCTTGAGAAAACAAATCGTTAAATAGACTAAAAGTATTGGTATTAAAACCAGAGAGGTTTGCTTATTTAGTAAGTAAGTAAACAATAGGTGGAATATCGTGCTTAGTTTAATCGAGCGTCTATTTAGGCAATAGCACGTTTCATATTTTGCAAATTGCAGTTTAAGTTTGCGAGGCGGAAGCGAGCGGTTTGGCGGTGTCCGAGCTTTAGGGCGAGCCGGGCGGTGGCATGAGGCGGGCGGTCGCCTGGGCGGGCGACGCGGCGGTCACGCGCCCTCCGTTTATCGTTGGCACGTCGCGCAACCTTAATTGATATTGCTCTAACGAAGACGCACTCACCGTTACAATTTCAATATACCATATGACGACATTCACACTGAGAATACTTAATTTATGCGGTGGTCGAAAATATATGACTACGCTCAAATTATGCCAAATAAACAAAACCAACAAGCATATCCTCTATCTGCTGTTATTTAGTACTGTGCTTAATTGTATTATATTTAGTATGTTTAGTACAATTTTAAAATAGTCATTTTATAAAGAAAAAATGAATACCTTTCATATTGCAAACGGTTTAAGAAAATGATCTGTTACAATAATTTATTGGACTAATTTTACAGCATCATTTGGTAAAACGGAACTTTCCATAAAACGAGATTAAGATAACCATTGTTTTATTGTGGATCTAATCGTCACTGGGAGACATTCCACTTCCATGGTCAAAGCAGCTTTAATTAAAAACCTTCTCAATAGAGGGTTGTCTAAATTCCAAGTCAAGGCGATCTTATCAGGTTTTTTCTAAAAGAAGATTTTAATGAAATTCGTTTTTAGCAAAACATTTTTTGTTTACCTATTTGCTTCATGTTTACTAATTCTAATCTATCAAAGTCTTATTTCATTTTAAAGGTTATCTTTATTCAGTGGATAGTCATAATAACAAAACAGGAAACATTTATATTAATATAAGAAATTATATTTTCTTAATCGATTTGAAAAAGGAGAAAATTCTTAATGGCCATGTTTTTTTTGTTTTACCTCATGTTATAATATAAATATGAAATGATCCTTTATAAACGAAACTAAATTACGACA